CTTTACAAAGACGGCTGGAGTGCCACCGGGTACCGTCGTTCAAAAGGTAAGATGCCGGGCCAAGCCGGCGGGTAATTCTCAGAGGAGAGGGCCAGAATGAGGCCAGTTTGTTTCCCCTGTGAGGCCTACGAACCCTAACCCAGTCATTTACGGCAATGTCCGGCACTTTGGCATGGTTACATTTGTCGAACTGTATTTTCATCCGGCGCTGTTGGCAAGAGACAGAACCTTTAACTCCTGGGGGAGGCTTCAGGGGCACAGGTGGACGGAGTCGATCAAGCGGCAAATTGAGCTCCCTACCCAGCATGAGAAAAGCATGGGAAACACCCGAGGTGCAATGATGAGAGGCCCTGTAGTGCAGCAGAGTGAGGCGAACGGCTTGACTGAAAGGACACCCTTGGGCCAGGTGTGCTCTGAGACTATTTTTAAGGGACTGATGAAACCGCTCCACGCCAACGTTAGCCTGGGGGCGATAAAGGGCTGTGCGGATGTGTTGAATACCCTTACTCTCTAGGTAGGATTCGAAGTCGCCTGAGATAAACTGAGGGCCATTGTCTGTTGTGATTATCTGTGGAAGGTCCCAGCGTGAAAACAAAGAGTCCAAAAAATACACAATGACCTGGGAGGTGACAGAACCCGTAGCAGTCAATTCAGGCCATTTGGAGTGTAAGTCATAAACTACAACTAGGTAGCGCTGATTGTGGGGAACCCCGTGAATCTCACCGCAGATATCCAGCTGTAAGTGCTGCCAGGTTCCAGAGGGCTAGGCTAAGGGCCGGAGGGGTGGTGGAGGTGAGTGGCCTGTCTTACCACACACGAGGCAGGCTGAACAGTCCTTGACCAGTGCTTCAATCTATTCCTGGCCACCACACTCAGTCTCGGCAGCACTGTTAGCCATTGCTAACACGCGCACACGAAGGGACCCTGGGACCACAGTACAAAGCCCACGAGCCACGCAGACATCATTCCAACAGGACAGCTCATCTTTGACCGGGGAAAAAGCAGCTAGTTCTCCAGATACATTTTATGGCCAGCCACCCCGGATGTAAGTGCAGAGCTGTGAGAGGATAGGGTCCTGGTCGGAGGCTGTTTTGAGCTCCTGTAGTGACACCACATCCTGCAGGGGAATGTGTAGCATCTGAATAATGTCAGTTTCAACATCACTACTACCCGTGGATTTA